ATTGAATGTATTAAAATTCTTATTAAAATTTATCGTAATATAAAACAAATTTAATAATAATATATCATTATAAATAAATATTTCTAATACTTAAAATGATAATGTTTTTAAATTATTAAATTACATTATTTTTTTATTGAAATTATAACGATAGATTTAATTTTAGAAGTATTATAAAAGTATAAATTTGATTCTTTAATTTTGAATAAATTTTAAAATAACATGTTTAGAGTATCATAAAAAAGAGTAAAATAATGAAATTAAAATTTGTATGAAATATTTTAATAGAAAAGTCAATCTAGACAATTATAATAATAAAATTTTAAAATATATGTATAACTGATCAATAACAGATAATTATAAATTTCATTTAATTAGCAATTATAAATTATTAAATACATTTAATAAGTGTGTATTCAATTAAGCTAATAATTTAATTAACAGATAAATCATTAATTTGTAATTAAAAATTTATTCTAATTGGGATTAAAAAAGCCTGGTGAATGAGGAATGATTTTTCAGTTTTGTACATTTGATTCATCTATTCATCCTTTTTTCATTGTTCCATTCATTACATTATATTTAATGTTGAGAACATTTTTTTTTATATATTCATTCTTAAAAAAAAATTGGTGGTTAAATCATACAAAATTTTTTCATAAAAATAAAAAAGAAATCCCTACAAAATTAAAGAAATATGGGACATAGGGTAAAAATGAATTTAGTTTATGCTAAAACATTAAAAAGTAATATAATCAGTAATACACACAAACACACACATACGCACATATATAATATGTAAATTTTCAAATAACAAATAGTTTGAATGCAACATATATGTTGTTATAAAAATATTTGAGTTATTTCTTAGTCAATTAATCTTCATATGTCTCAATTTTGATTATGTAAGCAATTCTTATGTGATTCTCCTTTTCTTGTGAAATAGATTGTCAAGCCTCAAATAATGCATGAGAAAAAATACTTAAGAGTGAAAATTGTAGAAGAAAAAACACTAACTTCAAGTTCCTATGATGATTCTGACGTAAAATGGGCGTAAGAATTTATGTAGCTTGAAAAGTCTCAAGAAATATATAATTTTAATACTATAATTTCAATGCTAGTTGCTGATATCAAAAGATTTGAATAATCAATCTGTCTTACTTCTTAGTCGATTCATCTTTATGTGTTCCAAATTTGATTGTCTTAATAATTCTCACATGATTCTCCTTTTCTTGCAAATGATATGGATTATTGAACCCCAAATCATGCATGAGGAAAAAAAATTAAGAATTAAAAAAAGAAGAAAGAATATCATCCTTCATTTCCTATGATGGTTATAGTGTGAAATGATAATATCACCCTTGATTTCCTATAATGATTACAATGTGAAATGAATGTTGGATAACATGAAGGATTACATAGGTTAATTTAGATTAAAATTTATAATGAAAGATAATTTGAGTAAATAATTCAAATTAAAACTTAGAATGAAAGATGAATTGAGTAGAATAATTTATAAAAAAGAAATGTAATAAAATATTACATAAAAATTGATACAAATAATTTGGTTGATGTGATAATAAAAAATATTGTCATGTGACAACATATTACTTCACAACTCAACTTTTATATTATAAATAAATAAATATACTTTAAGAATTAGATATACTTTGCCACATCCTAATTAAGTCTAATATTATATATTCTTTTAAAAATTATTAGATATTTTTAATATAACTTATTAACTTATAAATATCATTTTGACTAACGTATCACAACATTTACATTAGTTAACCTTGAAACAGAGTACCTGAACAAATGAAACTCCTGGAGTAACTTTATTGATCTAGAAAGGAATTACCATCACACTTCCTTATTACAGGTCTGCTGAAAATAAGAGCTATATATATACAAACGCTCATTTTGAAAAGAACTGCAAAACTGCATTGATACAACTATTCAATCTACAAATGTTTACAAAATCGTGGGAGCAAAATATGTCGAAGAATTGAAACTCAATTGTTTTGTCCATTTTTTTTATCAACTGCCCCATTGAAACCTCCAAAAAGCAAAACAATAAGTGTATACTTATATCTGCTTTTACTCTATTATATTAAGAGCAACATTGCTAACACACGGGCATTAACAGAAGGAGCTATCAAAATATAAATATATTATCTCTGTAGAAATTAGCACAATAAAACATCATGAAGAATTTTCCAAGTCAAAATTACTTGATGCTCAGCTAGAGTTCCCAGAAAACAGGCAACCTTACTCCAAAGATTACAACTGAATCAGATTTTCTTCCAAATGTCTAAATCAACTAAAATAAAAATATATCAAGGAACTTCCAACGCTACTTTACTGTTCCCCAGGCAGTGTCTTAATGATATCTGAATCACCTGAAAACAGAAAAACAAAGTATTACAAAAAAAATAACATAAAAACTAGTTTCCAATGTTGAAATAGTTCTAGGAAACAATCAGATACCAGGATCAATAATACTGAGACAGCACACTCTGTAATATTTGCCGCATGCAGTGCCCAAATCCACATTGTCTATAATAAACAATAAATATTTTGGTTAAGAGACACAAATATACCTAACCCTTGAAAATGTGTCAAAAGAAAATTTTACAAGATATCAAAGCATCCGTCAATTATCATCAATAGAAAAAATTACAGCTCAGATGTTTGTGAATTAATAATTTATACAAGAGAAACAGCAGCAAGTACATATCAAAATCAGCAACCAATATCAACATGTAATTATCATAATACCAATCACTAAATACTTCCATCATCATACTATAGATAAAAAGAATACATGGTTTTAGCTAACAAAAATATACATGGTTTTGTCATACACATTCTCCTATTTTACCCCTATAACTATCCCAAACTACTTACATTCCAATTGCAAACCACTTACTACTATTTAACCTCTGTTATTTCTCTTATTTTTTATTATTATATTTTAGTTTTAATTTTTAAACAAAAGGGGCGCCTCTTTTCCATAGTCTTTCAACAAGTTTTATCAAACACATCCTAAATACTCCCACCATCTACTATAAATGCAGATCATAAAAACCAATTCCAGTGTATAAGTGTAGGACACTCAATCATATAACTGACTCAAGCATAAGGTTGGTTTCTCTGTGACTAATAATTTTTTTTTAAATAGATAACTTCTTTACATGACTTGAATCGTTATGGAAGAAAACAAAAGATCAAATATGGTCAACTAAAACCTAAACACGGTAAGCAATTGATCCTAAACACAATATCCTAAGTTAAATCCAACAAGAACAAATCAACCTACGAAACAAAGAATTTTCCACCTGTTACTTAACACATTAAAGGGGGGAGGAAGAGAAGAAAAGCATTAGATAAAGAACTTACTCCCATTATAATGATGAACTCCAACCTTAGCCAACATGGCATAATATTCTATCTCTGACTTCCTCAAAGGGGGACAGTTGTTAGCAATGATGATGAGTTTCCCTGCAAAGAATTCAAAAATAAATTTTTTTTTTTAATTTATAAAAGGAAGAAGAAAGCCACTCCTAGTCCTAGAGAAGACACAAGTGTAGAAAAAACTGACCTTTGGAGCTCCTAAGGGATTTGAGAACGGTCTTATAGCCAAGGGTGTATTTGCCGCTCTTCATGACAAGAGCGAGCCTGTTGTTAATGCTCTCATGGGTCTTCTTCTGCATTCATTATAATTGAACTGAAATTGAAAACCCTAATTCTGAAAAACAATTTAGTAAAAGCGAAGGCGTGAAGATATAGAGAGATTACGGTTTTCTTGGCGGCAACCATTGTTGTTGGTTCTCTGAAGTGGGGGGCACAGGAACACAGAGATGCAAACCCTAAACGAAGAGACGACAAATGAGATATATAATTTGGTCACTACTAGGGTTTGCTTTGTTTTGTTTTGTTTTGTTTTTTTTTTTTTTTT